ATTTTAAATTAATAATCTATTTGACAACTAAGTTTTACGTGTCAAACTTTGATAAAATTGAAAAATGTCTCATTTTGTATGTGTACACAAAGGGGAAATGAAATGAACTGTGTGACATCTTAAAAGTCCATTAAATAGACAATAAATATAAAAACAGGGAAAAAAAGAGCATGAATATAAGCCTAAGCTCTACATCTATAACTTAAAGTGCTCTACAATTCAAAAGCATCAATATTTATTCAATGTTATGATGCAACAAAATCTGATAAAACACTAACATTGATTGATACTTTCCCGTTTATAAKGTGGCATCAAATGTAGACAAGCTTTCCTCAAAATTTCTAGAGGATTTCTTTATATATGATTTGGACTCCTGGTAGTTATAAAAGCATCCCAAAACCACCAACAGAATTAAGATCAATTAATATCTGCTGTAATAAAACACCTAAAAGCTTCTGTACGAATTACACTCCTTTGTTTTATTAGCAGTTTTGTGCTCAGGTTTTAACAATGAAAAAAAAAAAACGAGTCCATGTTGAGACTGAACTTAAACTGAGCAGAATGTGGGAAACTTTAAACTTTCTGTAAGCACTGTATTTAAATATCAAAAGAAGAGCATTGTGTTGTAGTGCCCTCCTCAGGACCAAGGTAGCATTGGTTGGCATCAACATATAYTTTGTGAAATTTCAGGAAAAGTTACATTATAATAAACATCTCCTTATTAATTAAATCTAACCTGTTTCCTCATGTTGTCATTTAGCTCCTTAACGGTGTCAAAGCTGGATTTGAGTCTTTTGTTCTCTTTGCTCTTCTCTCGAAGAAGATCTCGCAGCTGGCTTAGTTCTTCTTGTTGTTTCTAGTGAGATGTTCATAATCACGCATTTATAAGAGCTGTCAGTTACGTAAGGCTAAAAAAAAGCTTGTTGAAAACATGTCAACATTTCTCTCTGAAAGGATGTCTTTTATGAATCACAAACAACAAATTCTTTTCATTTTATATGGAAATGATAACGTCTTTGTCTGAAAGTGTCTAAACATAAATATTAAACAGAAGTATTCTGTCAGGCCTCTGGATTCTTGCCATATTTGTAAAATCTAAAATCCTGACAGAATCCATTATGTCAGGCTTTTAGCCAAATTCGTGGCTGACTATAGTTCTGTCAGATTAATCGACAGCCATAGCTGGCAGCTAAACGGGTGATGGAAATCAACAATGCCAGCTCCTAAATAGGCTGACTTAAATGTTAACAGCATCAATTGAGAACATCTGACTTTAAGAAAAAAAACTGTTAGAACATCAGACCAATTGTAACTAGCCTTTGACAGAATGACATCCTTTTATCTTTCCAATATATGCTTGAAGGCCCACATTTAGTTTCCATCAAGGACTGTCCAGATGGGTCTGTGTAATAAATCATCTTGAGCATCCGAGTAGGAGGTAGAAGGAATAAGATACGGTCAAGAAACTTGAAACGCTCGCCTTCTTTATAGTTCGACTGGATGATGCATGAGTCTGACCTTCTCAATGTCCAGAATCTGGGCATTAACCATTTCTTCCACCCCTGCCAGCTTTTCAAAAGCCTCCTCTTGTTGTTTCAGCCTCTTTTCTCGTTCCTGCAACTCCCGTTCCCACCGTTGCTGATTGTTTCGTTCGGCCTAAAAACGTGCAGAGACTGGTGTTACACCAACTACTTTTTTATTGCTTTGATTCTAAAGCTACTCAGCAACACTGGTGTCACATCTTTCTTACCTTCAGCTGTCTGTATACGCTCATCATTTCTCTGTAAACTTTACCAAATAATGAGGAGGGGCCACATGAATCAGGACTTTGTCCAGCCCGCTTCAACTCTCTTTGTTTATCAGGTTCCTGGAATTCAAAACTATCACCCAGGTGGGAAGGCAATGTCACATCTGGATAGAAAGAAGAAGTAAAAAAGAGGTGGGGAAAGCCTTAAAATGATCATTTTTAAGTATATATATTAACCAGAATACAACAAAAGTAAGTATTTCTATTGGTGAATTGTAGTAAGGTTTGAGGAAGGGAGACCTCATCATCTTTACAGGAAAACAAACAACAAAATGTAATCTACACCTGTTTCTGTGAACAGCAGCTGAGAGTCCTGAAGCGGTGCTTCTGTAGAGGTGACACTCAGGTCACCATTGCTACTGTGCAGACTACAGTCACTTTTAAACCTTCGACAACAGAGCAGAATATCTGATCAATGCGTTACAAAGGCAAACTTCAGACACTAAATCATTTACTGATACTTACTGGTTTGGATGGTCAGTGACAGCTTTGAACAACTCATGTAAAGCTTCACTGTACATGTTCAGCTCTTTCCTTGACTGTTTAGACTTGTGGGCCAAAAAAAGGCTCTGCTTTGCTTCTGAAAAAAGGAAAAAGAAAGAACRAAACAAAACAAGACAGTATTATTAGCCACATATAACCAACAATGACACAACCTACAGTTCAGCATCTGACAAAGTGGTGTTCAATCAACAACCTAGAACTAAACATGTCAAAAAACAAGGAAATGATAGTGAACTTCTGGATGTCAAGACAAACTGAACACTGCACTCTCCATATGTATATCTAAGCTGATCGCTCTTGGCTGCACGACAAACATTCCCCACAAGGTGGGGAAAGTACAACAGATTTCTTCAGGAAGCTAAAACAAGCTCAACTCACTCTAGCTGATAAACTACAGATCTCTGATAGAGACCTTTCTGGAAGGAGATACAGACACATGAGAGCTGCATCAAACAGACTAAAAACTGTGTCTACTCTCAAGAGTTTAAATGCACAACACCTCAACAGTCCCAGTGAGAGGCTAAATATATAATGTTTTTTCTTTGTCTCTCTTGCTAAAGAAAACACACCTGGNTTTTTTTTTCATATCAGATCATTAAAACTTATTTTGTTGGCAGCAGAAAAGTACCATAAGTAAACTTACCACCAGTAATCCTTGATCTGTCTCCTGAATGCGGCTCCTAGAAGTAAATACGATTTGGTAAACAGAAGCACCACTACAAAAAAGCAAACTATCACATTGACAAAACAAGACGTGCACATGTTGTTTAGCGAAATTAGTTTTTAAAATTAGCGCTAGTGGGACACAACTGGACGAGATTCATTTCAAAGTTTTTCAATTCCAACCTGTTTTCTCCTCTCCAAATACTTGTGCGGAAGAATTTCCGCCGTATTACCTAATGTCTGGTTCATGGCTGCTGTAAGCAGTAGTAAATATTCACAAATTATTCGATTCAATTGTTTGCCTTCAGTTAGCAGAGCTGTAATGCTAAAAACAAACAAAGCTCCGTTTGAGCTTTTCAAAATAAATGTCCGTTTTTTAGGAGCTGAAGAAGATTACTCCTAGAAGGTGTATTATTAACATGACATGAATGCTACATGTTTTTGCTCTGACAATAAAATAAAATAAATAAAAATAAATAAATAAGGTAGAAAATGAGCATGCTCAAAGTCAGTGTTTTACTGTACAGACTATCTACTTCCGGTTAGTCTAGAGCGCCCCCTAACGGCGCAAAAACAATTTGTACTAGTTAATGCTGAAATTCAAACAACAAATAAAGTTGCAATTATTTTTCAGATCTCTGTATAAATCTATTTAAAATGGGACAAAATTGGTTTAATAATCAAAATGGCATAAACAAAAGAGTGAACAAAAATRCACAAAACCTGTAAATGTGCAAAATACCTTGTGTACACAAAAAATATCGAGAAATGAACTCTACACAAATAAGAACTACAAAACAGGAATATGGTCTAGTGACTGAGGGTTGTGTGARTGAATTAAAAAGGGCAAATAATTTTGATAAATGAACGTGTGTTCTGTGCACATTTAGCAAACAATGACCACAAACAATTTGTTTTTAAAAATAGGAAAAAAATCGCATTGATCCTATAGATGGCCATGGCTATAAATTGTTTCGTGAAAGAGCAAATTCGAGTTTAAATAAAACCCACTAAAAGCTATAATGCTCATCTTGTTGTAGTTGCATAAATAAACCAGTAGGTGTCAGTGTTTCACTAAACACAGAGGCCTCCTGGGCAAGCTTGACATTGACTTTAGTGACTATACCAATGAAGTTGGGGTGTCTTAGACAAACATTTATTAATCACATAAAATAATTACCTATTTGTTTTATATTGTAGCAGCAAAACATGTAAACTAATTGTCTTTAGATAAAAGATTTTCTTACAAAAAACAGCAATGATTAAATAATAATGAGCATATAGGCACGTGGAACCATAAATTAAAAGAAGACAACAATTTTTATATTGATGCAAATAAACCACATGCTTTTTGGTGCCACAGGGCTCTAATAAAGAGAAARTTGTCATGAAATTTATCAAAAGATTAACCTTGTAGCTCACAGACTCTGTCTCTAACCCCCCCAACTTATCATTTATCCATTAGGTTTCCCAGGCATTGCCAAGTTTACTTTATACCTGCATACAGTCCACAACCAGCATTAAAGATTAATGCCCTATTTTCCCATTTGGCTAATTAGCAGCTAAAGCCATTAATTTATATTCTACAAATTCAATCACTTTGTCCCTGCAGGCTTTTGCTCGGCATTGAGAGAAATTAGCCAGCAAGCAGAATATTTGTGGACTGACTCTTTTTTTTGTCCACTTTGTATGAAAATTAATACTTAGTAAGTGGAAGTTCCCTGTTTAGAGTCATTACATTTTTAAGCCAAAAGATGACTGTTTTACCATTAGTAGGATTAAAGATGGGCTTAGTTGCATCAGAGATTTGGACTAATAAGATAAGATAAGATAAGATAAGATAAGATAAGATAAGATAAGATAAGATAAGATAAGATAAGATAAGATAAGATAAGATAAGATAAGATAANAGATAAGATAAGATAAGATAAGATAAGATAAGATAAGATAAGATAAGATAAGATAAGATAAGATAAGATAAGATAATCCTTTATTAGTCCCATGAGTGGGAAATTTAGGTTGTCAATAAGTCAGTGAAATGCCTAAAGTGTTCTGTAATAAATTCAAACTTCGTTTTAATAAAAAGCAATCTGTCATTTCGTTACAAACCAGTACAGACCTAGCATTCCTTGATGGAATGCACATCACCCACTGCCTTAAATCATCTTATGYTGAGAAATGATAGCGTCGTAGCCATTTGGTCAAACATTCAAAGTAACAATATGTGCAATTTCATGCAATGATCTTGGAGGATGTGTTGTGAATRACTGTCAGCCATGCCCATTTTAGTTCAATATCTGTAAAACTGACTGAGTTRTAACCGTTTTGTGTAGGCTAAGGTTGTTGACTCAAAAGGTTAAAACATCCAATATTTATATTCTGAGATTTTCATTAAACTCCTTTCTGTGGTTCTTGAAATAAACAGAGTTGAKGTCAATGGTTAATGGCAAAATTTGAAACACACATTTTATGCAACCAGTCAGCAATCAGAGCACGTGATGTGCATGATTCTYAGCTACAACAAATTTTAGATCTATATTCGCAAAATTGATCGTGTTACATCTATTGTGTTCTTAAACTGGTGGCATCCTTTGCTTTATCTCTGTTGCCATGTTTCTGTTTTTCCACTTCTTGACAAAAGCAATTCAGGCGAGATAAGATAATTGAGTCTGATTGTCACAAAACAGTAGGACATTGATATAAAGTGGAATTCTGTTTTTTTTTTTTTTATTGTTGCACAGTTTATGGGCCCTTGAGGCCATTGTTTTAGCATGTAGCTCGTGTAATTATTGCTGTGCACATGTCTCTGTGCACTCCCTGTGTACTGTACTGTGCATGTGTGTGTGTAAGTCTGTGTGGAGAATGTTAATAGACACACCACTAACAGTCTGAGGGGAGGGGGGGGGGCAGCAGTTAGTGTCTGCACATTCTGTTTTCTGACAAACAGCACAAACACATGTGCGTGCCCATGGGATCCAACTAGACAATAGTAATCAGCTCCAATCATTGAATTACCAGCATATTGCTACATTGCATTGCACAGCCAATTATCTCCTGTCTCATGATACAAATCCACACATTCGAGTGCCCTCACACTCAATTAAAGTGGCGATGGTGGAGCTCGGCTGTGAAAATGATTGCATTTCAATTGGCGTGACTCTTTGAATCCACTGAGCAGTATTATGTATGCTAATGAGAGCTGTAAAGACGGATCTGCAGATCAGGAGGGGCGGACTCTGAGCAATTACAATACCTCTGAGTACCAGACCAGATATGACATCTCTGGGTATGAGAAGCAATTTTACAGCTCTTACAAAATTTAGAAATATACTTTTTGAACCTTCATTCAGTAAAAATAAATAAATAAATAAGATGTAGAAGTCTAAACGTTACCTGAGAGTTTAAATTAAGAGTTTCAGTTACACATATTGGGCGTGAATGCTCATTTGTTGAACAGTCTTGTGAATAGGAATTTAAGTTTTTATTTCTTTGGATAATTCATTTACATTTGCATGTCAAGATCTGCAATGTGCCCAACACATTCTTTTGAATATTAAACTTGCCTTGAAAACCTTCAAAAAATTTATTTATTACTTCGTCAGGGTTTCATTAAGACYCTTTCAGCGGTTCAGGAGTTAGTTTGTAAGCGGACAAACAAAATAGTTCCCATAGGTAAAGCTAAAGGTTTAGACAAAAATCTTGCACGATGAGTTAAAATATGTGTTGTGAATGAGTTTCAGCTGCAACTACACCAGATTTAACTTCAGTCTCTGTAAAGTTGAATAAAATATAGCCATGTTTGTGTTTTTTAAGGTGAGCTGTTGTGAGATACACACACACACACACACATAGACAAAGATGATAWTATTATCCACCTTCACTTTTAGCCAGTGGGCAGTATAAACAGTTTAAAAACTAATGTCTTGCTTCTATAATATAATTAAATGGTTTGAAATAATCATTAGCAATTTAATGAAAGCCCTCATTATAAACCAAGACAAGCTATACACATTAAAGCCCAATAAGATGAAGACAAAATTTACTTATGACCTACAGAAGCCAAAACTTCACACTTATCCATAAATTAAATCACTTAAACTAAAACAAGTGTTTTTTTCCCACTCTTGAACCCAGGATTTACATTTGTCAAATTCCTTCTGCATGGCCGCTAAAGCCCTGAAGGATTTATCCTCATAATGACTCCTCCTGTTTAAGAGCCTGTAATAGCTTTGTCAAGTTATATTTATTAGATTAATTTCTTCAGGTTTAATTGATGCATTAATATTTTAATGTTTACCTCGTCTCCTGCTGTAAAAGGCCTTTGGTGCTCAGGGAATCTGGGAAGAGGAGAAGTAAAGTGAATGAACTCCAGTGGAAGCTCTGTGAAATCCACTTTTTCCGTTATAGAAATGCGTAAAAAGTATTTGAATTATTCAATTGATTCACAGTTAATTTAGACTTTTCAATTTGTCACTAAAATATAAAAAGGACTTAGTGATTTTAGGTGCGTAGAATGTGGCAGAGCATTAAGAAAATATGATTATACTCATAAAAATATTTTTTAGCTTCACACGCAGGCATGGCAGATACTTTAATTCATACTTTTTCGATAAAGTTTGCTTTTCCAGTTAAAGATTTACATTTTTAGACAAAACAATGTGCATAAAAAGCTGTTGATCAACTAAAGAAACACATAATCTTAATCTACCAACGTGAAAATGCCAGACCTCCTCTGATCTTGGAAGTGGGGTCAGGACTGGTTAGTCCTTGGATTGGAGACTGCCTGAGCAGTCCCTGTCCCTAGGCATTGATCTTCAAGGAATAAAGAAATCAAGATCAGAAAGAGAGAGGAGAGGCCAAGAAGGCTTTGTTTACCTGTGAAATAATTAGCTTTTCATTTTGTTGCTTTTTATGACTAAAAACTCTATTTGTATTCATAACTTAATTATCTGAGATTTCCTGTCTCTAAGGTTAATGCACAATGCCTACTTGAAAATAACATAAAAGCCAACTGCATTATGTATAGCAAATATTTTGTGTCATACCTGTTTAAAGTATCATTTGAAGAACTTTTTAAATACAAGGGTAATTTTAGTGACAGTATTTGCAAGACAGATTTTATCCTTTATAAAATTTTATGTTACTTGATTAAAATGTAGTTTGTTTATATCAGTGTTAACTGTATTTATTCTACCTATAGGTTGTATTTTCTGGCTACTGTCAAGCTAAACAGTACACCTAATAATGCCTTTTATATCTCCTCGCTGAAAAGGGACAGGTAGGAACCAGATGTGTAAAGTAAGTAGGCACAAATACTTTTGTTACTGTGCTTAACTAGAAATTTTGTTTCTGTATTTGAGTAACTATTTAACTACTACTTTTTACTTCTACTCCTTACATTTTTATACAATTATCTGTACTTTCTACTCCT